CAAAAAGGCATCAAGGCGTCTTTCGAAACTGGACACCGACATTGCTTGGACAATATCCTCACTCAGCGAGTTCCAGTCTTTGATGACCCGACGGGAAAACCGGTAATTCTGAGGCAGATGGTCTGAGCGTTGCTGGACTAGGCAAAAGAAGTGGCTGAGATAGAGGGAAGGAATCATAGGTTTTGACCTTGATTTTACTTATTTCGTCGACAATTAAAGCAGAAAAGTCAGCGATTCTTTAAAAAATTTCTTCATTTTTAAGGTTTTTTTTTCAGCACAGTCAATATATCACTATTCTTCTTAAAATTCTTCTATCAAAAAGAAAGATAGGCGAACACCTTTGTTTCTATATATGATTAACTAATGCTACAGTAAACTTTAACTTCGACATTCACTGACTGTAAGGTCAAGCTCACCTGATCTGAACCTACCTATCTATCAACACTGGCAACGGTGGATACAATCTGGTGGTTTCTAATAGGAGAAACAGTGTTTTATGTTTTCCCCGTCATAATTAAGTGCTTGTTCTCTTTTATGTCACCACCCTTATTGCTAATTGAATGAACTACATTCAACTTCTTTTATCCACTCCTTGGAATGCTCTTCCGCATCCGTAAGATGTGCGATTATATAATTCTCACAATAATGACCATTTGAAAGAATTTCAACTAATCGCCATTTGTTGAAAAAAAATGTACAAACTATAAACGGTATCAATTGTCAAACCCCGATTGGTTCCAGCTTCAAAGGACATTGCATCTAGAAGCATTACCAATGGACGTTGCCCTAGCGTGTTCGGTGAATTATTTTACCTGGGTAACACAATTTCCACGGACATCCCAAGTAATTACTAGCTGACAGTCAGAATAACCATAGGTTGCCATGTTTTTGAAGGTTAAAATCATCGGGATGGACCCGTCAGAGCATCTTCAGCACCCAGCTGTAATTTTTCTTGGTACAAGGCTTTGATCACGTCCGATTTAGCCGGCCTCAATGATTTAGCTTTCCATGCGGGGCGATCTGCGACATCAGTTTTTGAAAGCTAGACCTCCTCTGTTGTAGTGGCGGCGACTGAGACGGTGTTGTTTACTAAATGTTTCTACGCAGCAAAGCCACCATGCTTAATATTCTCAATTTAGCCGTCTTCAGTGATCCAAACACATGATGTCGCATCTTTGGCCCTTTGAAACTAATAGAACCGATGGTCTAGCTATGTTATGTTGATATCTTCTGAGTTCCTGCCAAAATGCCTTGCTGTGATGTGGCCGCAAGTTCTCACAGACAAGAAGAACAGAAATTGTCGCCTCAGGTCATGCCGGTAACCTCAATCAAATATCCCGAAGACAATATTTGACCTTGGTAAGACAGCAGAAAATTGGTAAGCATGGTAAGATAGCCATAGTGGCGCAGATAATTTTGAGAATGCATTTGGTCGTTGCTTGATCTTTTCTTCCTTTCTTGAGCTGCGGTTTTTCCTGTTTCGGGCGTGTATTCAAATTTTTTCTAACTTCCATTACTATGCCTCCCCTTCACGTATGCCTTTATTGTAGAATCATCTTGTTTCAATGGACGCGGAAGTACTAAAACTTATCCGTCCCACAGACCGTGTGCTGATAGTTTGGAGTTCCACAAATTCCCAGACTGAAACCTCAATGAAGAATATGCTGGAGAGTCTAAAAACGGTCGTTTCGGATGAGTCGGCTATCCAATTGGAAAATTTGGAAGTTTATCTGCAGCGTCCAGTTTCGACCAACGGCGAGTCCTCACTTAAGCCGACTATAATTTTAACAGGCTGGCCGGAGGCCTTCAAGCATGGACAACATAACTTTGAAGTTTACTCACGCCTTGTTGCCCTGTTTCCCGTCTCTGGCCGAATAATCTCCCGCGAGAGTGCAGGTGCTGACCTCGCCTCAACTGTAGAGTCCCTTCGCAAGGCGGCAGTCCTGGCGGGTTTTGTGGACATTAAATTTGTATGTCTTTCTGTTTCCTTAAAGTTGACCTCTTCCTTCAATCTGAAACTTTTTAGCCATTTGAAAACTTTAGTCGACCGTTTTTATCTTGAAATGCCCAGCTGCTTCCCCACTAGTCTTTACAAGCTAATTACCTTGCTGAAATGAGCAGGAAGGCCAAGTGTGGATAGTACATGTGCAGAGGACTTACTGTCCGACGTTCTAGACCACCGTTTTTTAAGGCTGACACTCCATGAACGAGGCAATCATGTAAAAGACTATTTGTTGTATTATTTTTCACCTGACTGAGATTATCGTGAACGAGCCAACTGCCTGATAGTCGGTACTTGTAGGTACTTTTGACAGGCAGCCGTCGTGATCGATACTGCGGATTAAGGGTACTGTCCACTAGTGGCGTCCCACCCGAGCCTCGAACA